TAGTAAATTTGATGTAAGATCACGATTTTCTTAAAATAATTTCTTTAAAATCTGCTTTAAAATGCCAATCAAACCTTAGTATGTACTTCAAAACTGACACAGAGAAAAAGTTATCAATTAGGTTAAATAAGCATTTTAAGTTTTTTCTATGAATATTTTTTTTCGAAAAGAAACATTATGCTGCAATGCCAAAGAGCTTTTCCCCCAGGTACATCTACCTTCATGCTAATAATTACACTTTCCATATTGTGTACACAAATCATAATTATTTACTACTTGTATACCTTATTTTGTAGTAACTGACATGCTCCTGTCATTCATACCTATTTTTCTAAAGGTATTTACAAGTCATTCTTGAGTGAAAGGAATTCTGCAGTTCCAGGAATCAGTTGACGGCTGTCACTGAAAAGTGCAGTAAAACCACACTTGAGTTCTGAATAATAGACTCAGTTGTGGTTCCTAAAATTCCCTACTTGCTTAGCTACCATGTGCACGAAGGGGAGTTCGAATCAACATGGATTTTCTTCTGGTCAGCAGAAATGGTTTTAGGCAGTTATTTTTCTATACCAGCTTTTGTACCATACATATTGATTCTGTATTGTAGACATCCAATGTTACATTTGAAAGCTCACAAACTTAAAATATTTCTGGGTACAGCAAGCTTGTATAACAAGTGCACAGACAATCAGTTGTAAAATCAACACCCCATTTCTGTTGTGAGTGTGTTTAGTAACATGGCAACCATAGAACACTAATGTCCCTAAGAGAAACCCAAAACGTGTCTATTCCAAATTATTTGATTGGATGAATTTATATTCATCAAATCCAAAAATATAATAAAAATACTAATGATTATATTAATTATAATGATGAGGCGTGAAGTGACAAATTGTAATATCACCAGTAAATCTTTACCATATAGCACATGGTTTCACTGATTTGGTTATGCTGTGGAAGAAATTTTGTTGTTTTTCTTTAACTAGCTGCGCAAACTGAAAACATTGTGTGAACTATACAGATATGCGAGTTCACATAATTCTTAACAGATGGCTAGGGAAATTATGATACAATGTCCATTCAATTGTTAAACTACCTACCTGCACGCACACAGGGACCTGAACATACAAAATCAAGAAAAATTGGGGGTGTGCGCTTACCCGAGGACAACCCCAAAAAAGATTTAAAAAAGTTGTTTTTGTGATTGTATGATAAGGTCAAATAAAGGAATGCTTTCGTACACTTTGTACACGTACTTATTTCTTGATTTATGCGAGGTTTCAATAAATGTGAGCACTCGGTCAAGAACTGTGGGAACACTAAGACACAGGGTCGAATTTCAAGAATAAAACTTGTTTTATGTCAGCGAATAAAGTTGTATTTCTCACTGAAATTGGCTACAAAGTATGGAAAGTATTGTAATCAATGCACGGTTACTTTTTTAGTAACCGTGATCAGTGCAAGTCGAAACGGCCGGGAAAAACTACCGCTTGTAGTCAAAGATGGCGATGACCTCATTAGCATAATTTTGTTCACGCACGTATTGATACATCCCATCGTAATTACTGAAGAATAACAGACAGGGTTATGAAACAAATAAACCTTTTTTTACTGATGTGAAATGTTTACAAACTATTGTGAATACATAAACATATCCAAATGGTGATACATAAAAAACAGACTCTGGTCGACCTCATTAACATGATTTATTCACGCACCCACACACATGACAAAATTATGATGCAACAAGTTCCCATCATCGGCATGCCTCATTATGGTTATCGTAATGGACTTGACAAAGTTGTAAAGAAACGTTCGAAATGCTCACATTGGGGGTGTTATTAATGTATCATTTCAATCAGACGTACCATTTTTAGCTCTCAAATCGTCTGTTGTTGTAAACTTTACATATTGAACCTTTTTTTTAAAAACTGTCAGCTTGATTGGTTTCATACTCACTACAAATGTAACTTAACTTTTGTGGTTTTCTCTCAGATTTTTTTTTTTAATTTAAATTCTGTCTGCTTCGCACACAATGGGAATCTCTGCAGTTAGTATGACCGTTCCACTGATATCTAAAGAACCTCATGTTGGTTTTTGATGAAATTTGATGCATATATGCTCTGGACTAATGCGCAGGTTTGATTAGCTTTTTGCTTGAAACAATGCATATTAATTACCTAATTTGCATAATGATTAGTCAAGTTTAATAGACTGGCTAGTATGTGTTTTTCAAAAATATTTTTAAAAATTACATATTGATACCAAAACGCTATAAATTATATTTTGTGTGTCTTTGAATGTAAAACAGTTTTTTTTATATTTCATTAAAAGTTTATTTTCAATGGTAACATGAAAGCCTACAATATAGAATCAAAATTTTGAGACACAAATTTAAGTAGGCAGAATAAATTATCAGGATATTACTGCATATTTCTGATGATGGAAGTGAATATACATTGATACAACTCCCCTTCACCCATTTATTGCTAAGCAACTGGGGAACCTGAAACATATCTCTTGAATTGTCCCCAAAATGGAGAAAGCATCCAGGTATCATTGCAAGTATTTTTTTATTAATAGTTGTAGTCTGGATTTGATAGCAGATGTACACACGTCTGTCTTATCAGTTCCGTGCCGCATCCTGTAATTCTGTCTCCAATATAACCTGAGGTAGCCTTTTTTTCAGCCATCTCTACATTTATTTTAATATCTTGAGCTAAGCATAATGAGAACAGAAAAGGTTTAAATATTTTAAGGTCTAGTTAATGTAACAAGTCATTGTTAATATTACTTTTATAGTTGAGGATGCAAAAGGCGAAGGATGTTAATAAATTTGTCACCAAATTTGAAAAGTGCTACAGAGAAATGTGACACATAACAAAAAAAGGCCACTAGTTTGCCATTTTGAATCAAACCACCTAACAAACTGATGTACGGTACTTCATATTAAGCCACTATGTTTCATTTAAATTGGTCAAAACTTGTATGAGAGGATACAAAATTTTTTTGTGTATCCTTGGATCCAAAATTGCTGCCAATAAATCATACATCATTGAATTCAGTAAAAATTGGTGTGTAAATGTCTCTCATGATGTTTTGTACAAACGGTGAGTAAAATTGACCAAGGATTGTCCAAAACCTGTGTCCAAAACCTCTGTAGAGGGTTGTAAAAGTACAAAAAACTGTTTATTTGATGCTTTGCATTCGTACCTGATTTTACGTATAAATAGTTATTTGTTTACAACTCTCAACTCAGTAATGAAGCAGTTGAATCTGACTTCTTCATATTATACTTGATATGGTTTTCTGTATTTAGAAGCAAGTGTGTCCTCATTGAAATGTCAAATCTACTGTCTAATTGTGTGATAAATGGTTAAAAGCATTACCCTGTGCACTTGCAATAAAAGTGTTTCCATGAGGAAATGAGAATTTTCAGCGTATACTCCAGCTGTCCAGTTTACCTTGCTAGTTAGTTTCAAATCCTTATGAATCTAAAATTCCCTAACAATCTAAGATGCTGGTATTATCCCTGCCAGTTTGTACAAGTTATTATTGCAATGTCATTTGAAAATTATAGAGGGAGAGCAACACTGAATATTGGTTGTGGAGCCCTGGAGTTTAGTTATTTGGTAAATAGATTGCAAATTCCACTATACTTTAATTGTCTCAATTGCAACTATCCTAGTTGTACACGACATTTACAACATTTTACCTAAAATATATATATATATATATATATATTGCTTTCTTGTCTGGCTATTTTATATGATAAATCATGCATGTTTAGGGTTATCATATATCTCCAATGACGTCATAGTGCTTCATGAGTTATACATAACAAATTATGTGCTATGCATGGCTCAACAGTTGTTTATACTTCTAGAAAACAGTTAATGCGTTAATTCAGAGTAACATTCTTAGATGATCAGCAATTTACATTCCAAATCGTGCTCTTGCATACTACATGTATGTCATTGAACTGGGCTTTGTATTGACAGAGCAGTCTAGTCATATCAAGTGTTCAACACCAGAGGGCGATGTTGCATAACTGCCAGAAATTGCCCTGGGGATGAGTTTCCAAACTAAGTTATTATATTTTGTATAAAACAAACTTAAATTTGTTCATTTCAAATTATTTAAAGAATTTATGAATTTAAAGTTCGATATGATGGTTTGAAATATATTTAGTGCTTGTCATTTATGGCATGAACTGACTTTTTGAATGACACGACATTTCAAAGAACTTAGATGTAAATGATGCCTAAATTCTCATTGAGAACCAGAGTATATTCCATCCTCTCTGTCATCATGTCTACTGCTCCAAATACCATGGTCACGTAACTCAATAGACGTGATGAATGGGAGATAATAGAACACTGCTTGAAGGAGTTAAAAACTGATATTGTGATTCTCTTGCTCTCAACAAGATTGTGCCATTTACATCCAAGGACTGTTATCTTTGTTTGGGTTTTCAGATATATTAAAGTGTTTTCTGTGCAGTATGGATTGATTACTGTGTGTTCATCCACACTAATGTCCCTAAAAATAACATGTACAGATATTAACTTGAACAATAAACCATGAATGAAGTTGATGTTTTCTAAATGATTTCTTTTTAATAGCAGTATTATTTAGGAAGAACAATAATAAACACTATTACTTTGAGAACATTGAAACAATGTTACAATTTTCTGTTGCTCTGTAAAAAAGCATTGGTAAACCACCACCACTTTTCTGGTTGTGAGATGTGAAAAGGCTTTCTAAAATTGACATAAAGAAAAACAGAAAAACTATTAATTTTGACTGGATCTCTTGTGCGAATTGACAGTTATAGTATACTCCTATGGTGTATAGATGTCACAGTTATTTGTAATGGAGCAGGGGCTTATATTCAGTTCTCACTCTCATTATGCAATTAATGACCTGAATTATGCCTGTTAATGACTGTTAACCAGATGCCATGCTTAAAATGCTAATTTTCTCTTTTCTTTATATTGTAGAATGTTCGCATGCTTTCACTAATGGCCCAGGCGTGATTTCTGAAAGCAACAATGAAAATGAGTACAATACTTGCAAGTATCATTTGAAAGCTCCTGAGCATCACCATGTTGTTTTGAACATCACAGAACTGCAAGGATTCTCCTATCCAGATAATGAACGCTGCATTCCAAAATTGACTGTGCGTAACATTGCATTATCATCATCTTCATCTCCAGCCTCGTTTACAATATGCAATGGCCAAAGCGTCAACTTGCCTCTCGTTGTGATATCCAGTAAAGCAGAAATGAAGATAGTGTTTCGATGGCAAAGGCCATTTCAAAGCAGTTTCACAGCCGTATTTACATTTCACAAAATACAAGGTATAGTTATTTGATTTTATACTTTATATATTATATTAAAAACATTAATTTTCATTTTGCGTCTTATGTTTATGTTGATATAGAAAAACTGTTAAAGAAAGAATGGCAACTACTTGCTAATCAAAACTAATTAATGCTCTTCATCACTCTTGTTGTGTCTGTCTATATTTTATTTTTACACACATCCCGTGTTAATGCAAGTACCAGTTATGCGCAGATAAGTAGTGACCATTCATGACATCTCAAGAAAGCAATATTAATGGTAGTAGCTCAATACTGCCACACCATAAGCCATTTCATTCAGACCATTCATATGTGCCAGCTTGGTGACCTGACATCTATGGTCTCAATTTTAACTCTTCATTGGGAAGATCTGCTGAAAATGACTAACTCAGTAAACAATTATACAATTCTTATGTTTATTGACATACGCCACTTCTGTTATGGTGACTTGTATGTCTCTGTTTGCATCCCCAATTGTTAAAACTATTTTTACTTTATTCTGATTTCTCTGTGTTCACTAGAATTAGAAAGATCCTTAAGGTGATGAAAACTGTCCAATTTATTTTCAAATGGAGTTGTTCTCTTGTGATAATGAGGAGTGCAATTTCCTTCACATTATTCACTTAGATTTAATGGCCTATGCAAGTGCATGGTGTTGAAGTCTACAATGGTCTTTGAAAATAAAATAGCTTATATAAAACATACTAAAGATTAAAAATTGCCTTTCTGAATTGCAGTTTATAATTGCTCAATGTACTAAAAATATCAATTTCCGAAAATGACTAAGTTAACTTATTAAAATTGATGAACAATTAAACACATTATTATGGCTACGAGGTGGACAGCATAGAGAGACAAAGTGCAACATTTTGTTTGGAGCAAAGAAATTTAACTTAGATACAATAAATAATTCAATTAGTATTGCATTTGCGTAATAACACCATGTCCAAGTAATTCTGATGTTGACACAGAATTTGAATTCTGAAGTGAGAATATAAAGAACATAAAGAAGAATCAAACTAAATATGTGATTTGCAGTAAAAATATTTGACAAATTTGGGATGCACTCCCTCTAATGTGTTCATATTTGTTTTATTTCATGGACGTCTTATGGTTGAACAGTACTCCAAATGACTGGGAACAAGTGTGTAATATAATGTTTTAAAGTGTTGATTTAAGTGAATTTTTTACTATTTTGTTTTTACAATATTATTAATATGATCATTAAAAGACAAATTTGTATATAAATCAAACACCAAGATCATTGACCTGGTCAATGTACAATGAAAATACTGCTGTTCAGCACATAATACAATTTGTTTTCTTTTTGACTCCCGTGTGCGAAGCACAAAAAGGGAGTCTTTGCAGTTAGTGTGTCTGTATGTGTGTGTGTGTGTGTGTGTGTGTATGTGTGTCCGTCTGTTCCACTGATATCTCAAGAACCATACATCAGTTTTTGATGAAACTTGGTGCATAGATGCTCTGGGACAATGCGCAGATTTGATTTTGGTAAAAATCCATGCATATTAATTACCTAATTTGCATGATAATTAGCTGATTTTTGGCTGTTTCATGACTGTTCCACTGAT